CCTCCTCGAGCTCCGCACGCCCGAGCGGCTCGCCAGTTGGTGTCTGCCTCGTGTCCAACCCTTCTTTTTCTCGAGGTTGTATTTCTTCCGCCCTAAATGCATTTCTCCTCTCCCTTTACCTGATTTGACCACCAGTGAGGCTGGTAGGTGGCTGCTCTTCTCCCCTTTGACTATAAAATTCTACTTGAAGGAAGATTTTTGGTGGTTGAAAAATTCTTTTGGCTTGGGGAGGTGCTGCCGGATTTTTGGTTTACTGGTGCTAGTTTACTGGTGCTACTTGTTGGTGCTACTTGTTTGCTCGGTATTCTTGCTTGGTGGCTCGATAATCCTGTGTGATTACATATTTGGCTACCGAGGTATCATATTCTTACTGGTTTGCTTGTTTTCTTGCTTGGCCGACCAATATTCTTGCTTGGTTGTGCGCCACTCTAGCTGGTTTGCAATATCCTGGCTTGTTTGTTTGATACTTCTGAGGATTACTCATTTTTATGGCTCGTTTGCTTACCAGGTTGTCCTTGATTTGGGCTTAATGGTTCTCTTAGACTAAAAAAAAAAAAGAAGAGATGTCTGAGGCTATTAAATTTTTGAAACATCTTTGATATTCAAATCTTACTGTAAATTTCACTTGAATGCTCAGGTCTCTAAGCAATCTTTGTTATTTACGGCTCGTAATCTATGGATGGGTATTTAACCAATCTTGCTCTAATTACTTCTTGCCTAGTGATGTGAGTAATCTCTCTAATCTGCATCACTTGGAATTGCCTTAGCATAGCTTGATTATTTCAACGATGAACTAACTTGTGTTTTATATGGTTAAGTTTCAATCATGAATAATTCCTGAAATTAGTAGGATAAAGCATGATATGCTTTCCTTCTCTTTCTCTGCTCAAGATGTATGATGGATAAAATTTTGGAAAGCTTTAGTTATTGCTCTATGGAATACATGGTAAAAATGAAATGTTGAAGCTTTTTATTATTGTTATTCTAGTTCAATTAAATACTGGAATTCATTTCAATGCTGAGACATGTTGGCTTTAGGGATTCATGCATACTTATATGTTTCTTGTTATTTGTTTCTATTCGAAACATATGCTGGATACAATACTTTGAAATATAAGGCTCAAAGGGAAATATTTTTATTTTGTTAGGTTCAGTTTTAGCTCCTTGGAGATGGATTATTGTTGGAAATTATTCTCTGATTTTTCCCGTGTATTGAGTACGGTTTTGGCTCCTTCTGGACTGGATTTTAGCTGAAAGTTCTGTACTGTTTTTGCCCCTTTCCTGGGCTCGGTTTGGCCTGAGATTTGGGCCCGGTTTTGCTTCGAAGTGGTTCAGTTTTTGCCCCTTGTGCGGGGCCTGATTTTGTCTCGTGACGGCTGTTTTTTTTTAGTTACCTATTGGGTTAGACCTTGCTTTTGGGTTGGCCCTGTGTTGAACATATTTGAGGCATGGTTTTTGCTGTTTCTTTGATGCATACTACGATTGGAATACATAAACAACTGAAGTTTGATTTCTAGGACTTTTTGTAGTTGCTTTGAGTCCTATTTTGCTCCTTATAGTTGCTGCCCCTCTTTTCGAATCATATGTTGGAAGAAATTTTGTCTTTTCAAGAGCTTTTAAAATTTATTTCATGAAGGTTTACTTTCGTTCTTGTTTTCTTCAATGGAAAAATGGGAATTTTTAGGCTTTTTGGGCTTGCTTTGTGGCCCTGTGTTGCTTTTCCTGGCCTTGAGTCTTTCGGTTGTGAGCTTTCTTTTGTTGGGTTGGGAAATTATATTTTAAATGGCTGTTGATTTCCCTTGGCTGTCCCTGGCCGTGAGCCTCCATGCCTTGATTCCCTGTTGTTTGCTCCTACCCGCGAGTATACCTATTGTGGTTCCTTTTGTGTCGTTAATTGGTGACTTTCCCTCTTTGGCTTCTCTTACCCGTGAACTAGTAAATGTTGTTATGGGATTGTGGTTTCTTTGGCTGCTTCTATTCGAGAGCATCTAATTGGGTTTCCCCTTGTATTGGGCTTGGTTTGGCTAAAGCTAGGCTCAGTTTGCTGGAAATTATGTTATGATCTTGGCTCTCTTTTGCTGGGTTTAATTGTGCTGAAATTATGTTTTATTTTTATTTTTTTTGCCCCTTTGGTGAGTTCGGGTTTACTGGTCATGGTTCTCTGTCTTGCCTCTTTGCTGGGCTCGGTCTATCTGTTTCGGTTCTCTGTTTTTGTCCCACCTTGCTGTGCTCGGTTTGGTTAGAAATTCTTCATATAACGTTCCTCCTGGGATTGTTATTGATAATCAAGTTTGTCATCCAAAAAATTATGATTTCAATGTGTGCTTTTATGTTGGAGTGTTTGATGTAAGCTGATGAACTCGTTATTATGTCTTGTTTGATAAAAATGGTTTCAATCTCAATAGTTTATGGGAGCTTGTCCATTCACTCTCTTATGAATGTCAAGAGAGCATAATAACAATGCTGTGGTGGCTTTCCCTTGCTGCCCCTACCTGTGAGCTTTTGTCTTATTTCCTGTCCTAAACGGTGGGCTTATATTGGAACTTGGTTGTGCTTTTTCTGGCTTCTTCCTGTGGGCTTGTTATGAGGTTCGACAGTCCCTTTTCTTGGCCTTACCCGTGAGCCCCTATCTTCTTTCTTGTCTCTACACGTGAGTCTGTTGAGGATTATTCAGGCTCATTTTGCCCTGGCCATGAGCACTTCTATATTCTCTAAATTGGTGTTACACTTATACAATTGTGAAAAGCTTTTAATGAGGGGTGGAATTGAATGGATTTGATACTGGCAGGATTTTTGGAAGTCCAGAAGGTCGTCCTCTATCGATTATTCTCCTGTATTTTGTGAAATATGAAAGACTCTTACAACTTCATTTTGGGAAATCATAAAGTTGATATAAATTGGATTCGTGAAAGGATTAGAAAACTCATAAACTTGTCAGTTGGAAAAGAGTTTGGAGGTTTGACATTAAAACTTGGATAATATAAATGCCACACTTGGGTTCAGGCTTAGGTGTGTGAGCACATATAGTGGTGGAGCCGTAGGTACAATACTCACATTAATTTTGGGCCCGTTTTGACCTGTTTGAAATAAAATTTGGAGGGGATCACTCTTCTTGGGTTGATCCAATTATAAAATTTGAGAAAATGATATCCTTCTTGGATTGATTCAAGGATCTTTGGCTTTCTTTTTTAGGTCTTTTCGTCATAAGTTTTGAGGGGTGATTCACCCTTCGCCTTTTCGATCTTTTGGGTGGATCGGTTCCTCCTCTCTCTCATCCCCATTTTTATTCTTTATTTTCTTTGCTTCTTGGTTCGGTTTTTGATGTTTATGTCTGACACATAAGTGCCTATATATGGCCTTTTGCTATATATGAAACAATCAAACAAGGTCGCAAGTAGGTTGGTTTTGTTTTGAGGCTTAGGGCAATGATGATAAAGACACGCCAATGGTAGAGCAGAATGATATTCCATCCTACGACATCAGGACCCAATCCTGGGACCTGATGAACTGTAGGATAATAGTATCATTCACCGACACAAGACTAGCGGGGGACCCGTGCCCTCTCAGGTTGTTGACAGTCCTACCGACGACGTAATCGACTCGTGGACAATCGTAATTTTTTAAAAAATTGATAAGAACGGAACATGATAAGAACAGATGCAATATTTATAAAAATATTTTCACTACAAAATTGATACAACTTCCTTTTGTATACCTGAAATCCATGTGCATGCTAAAATATAAATTTTAAATGTGTTACAACTTGGTTGTCCACTTGTTGATTACCTGTACCGGGCTAAGGAGTATCATTCTAAGTTAGGTTTAGTATGACACCCTTCTAGTTAAGTGGCGGGCTTTATACATCCGGGTGACCGATAGTAGCCTTCGACGTCCCTCGAGTACAAATATATTATATTTGAGCTTAGCCCCGACCCGAGTGCTTACGGTTCCCTCTCTTCGGATTTTTCGTATGTTTTATTAGAATTTTTGGGCAAAGCACTCGTGGTCCTATATCCGGGATATTCCTGAGATTTTGATAATTTTCTTGGAATTGTCATTTGTCGATTTTTCCGTTGTTAGTCATTTGTCGATTTTCTCGAGTTTTCCAGGCAATGTTTCTTTTGTTTATACAGTGTATACTAGCTCGCTTAAAGGAGCAGCATACCTCTCGGATATACAGTTTTGATTTACATTACAACATTTTACTTCACAGCATACTGTGCTGTTCTTTTTCTTCTATGCTGCACATTCTACTGTTCTTTTCTTGTTATACTGCATGTTTTATTGTCCTGTTACACACTATATCTTAGTGTAGGAAAACCTAATGATTATATGTACCCTTTAAAACTAATATCAAACCCGAAGGTGCTATGACGAGGAGTTTGGAGCGAACACCGTGGGTAGCATGACAAGGACATACTGATGAACCACTTCAAGATGGATCGGCAACATCAAAACAAATTCACATCACTAATCACTTTTCTTAGTTTAAATAATAACTCATAGGATTTTGAGGTGGTTTGCCTAGCGTATCGTAAATTCTCACATGTCACCTTTAGGGTTTTGCACAACTCTGTTGTGCAAATATAAGTCATAACACTTTAGGATTCCGAGGTCACTGTACGGTACGGTGTAAATTCTTCTATCTTCTTAGACTATTTGCACGATCAGATATCGTGCGAATGTAAGTTCTAAATTCTAAAGTAAATTGTAGGATTAAACATTGAATAACATCACTTCAAAGACATAAAGCCAAACAATAGGATAGTTGGGAGGTTACCGGGTTCTCCGTAGATCTGTGATATCCCCTACTTTTCGCTCCTTTGAATTCCCTGAAATAATTGTTCCTGTTTGAGCCACTCCAGTTTGATTTTCTCATGTCCAAACTTGGAAACCTAAACTTTGAAATCTGGAAAGTAAAACCACTGATCTTAATCGAGAGTTTTCTTAAGTAACACCGGTCATTTAAGATGTAATTAACTATAGGGGTTTGCCTCTATAAGGAACTTGAAACCCAGGTAAAATAAATCTTATCTAATTCTCATATTAGGTAAGGGAACTTGTCGACCATACATAAATTTTTTTTTTTGCAGACCAAACGGATGTCACAAACTTCTTAGTTTAGGTGATTGAGCCTACTGTTAAGTGATATGCTCATCCTTCGGGATAGTATATTACTTGTGGAATCGCACTCAACCGTTTAAGCTATTTAATATGCGAGACTCGTCTGGTCTCATCTATTTTTAAAAATTAAAATATTACTTTCAAAAATCATATTTACATTAAAATTATTTTTATATTTTACAAAAATCATTCTTTTCGAAATTAAAACGGCCGACACCTGCATGTAAATCTTCCATTTTAATGCAAACTCAACAAAAATAATCTTTTTCTCTTTTGGGCCACTACAACTAAAACTAGCAATAACATTTATACTCCCATTTCCAATATAGAAAAAGGGTAATTTACATGCATACCCAATGATTCTTATGCATTTACATATCTGACAACCAAAGTTTAGTATTGACACTTATAACACCTCGGTGTCATAAGCCCGTGCATGAAAAGATGCATCACTTTTAAACAGAAGTGTTGGTTTTTGATGTGATGTTAAAGATTGAGTGGCGTGCTTCTAAATACATGAGAATCATGCATGTAAAAATTAGACATGTGAATACTTAGGAATTAAGTGGTATTTATGTAAATTTTCCTATTTTCTGTTGTCAGCCCTTGCAATAAAGATTTTACACTGGATTCATTTTACTTATCTTTATGACAGGAGGCGTGGGATCATTTCAATTCAATAAGCGAGTTTTAAGGTTTACAGAGCCCAATCTGCTTCAGATTAAGTGTGTTTTCATGTCTGTATGTAATGGCTAAGCCCAATCAGTTTCGATTATGAAAACTTCTCCATGCTGCACAACAACACTGAATTAGGGGAGTTTTAATTCAAAGTATTGATAAAATAAGTTCGGGATAATTACATACAGACCACTCGAAATGTTAATATTTACAAACTAACCACCCAGGTGATTTTTTTGTACTGGGTTGGGCTGTTACCATGAATTTTGATATTGGAGTGAGAATTTGAATAATGGATGGGTGAGGGTGGCTGATTTGTAAATTGCAAATTTCAGGTGGTCTGTATGTAAATGGTTGTATCTTTTGAACTCTATGATGGTATGGATGTACTGATTGAGCTGGCATTGATTATTGCTTTTGGAGTTTTGAATGAGTTAAGTCATCGTTGATTTGAGTTTGAGCTTAAACTCGCGTTCATATTTGGAGTGTTCACTTGAGTTTGAATGAGTTAAATCTTAGTTGACTTGAGTTTGAGCATAACTCGTGTTCATATTTGGAGTGTTCACATGAGTTTGAATGAGTTAAAGTCTTAGTTGACTTGAGTTTGAGCTTAACTCGTGTTCATATTTGGCGTGTTTGCTCGATGAATGCTATACTTAAACTTAATTCATGAGCTCGAGTTCGAATGCCTAGAGCTTCTTCTTCGCCCTCATTGCCATTGTAGGGATCATGAGGAGCGTTGTAAGGCATTGATGTCGCGGATCACTCTCACAAAGGGCAATCCTAGGAGACAATAGGGTTTTAACAATTGGGGTGGAATTAGGATTTTATGCTTTGGATGATCTTCTTGACATTTCGGCAACTTTATTTAGCGGCTCAAGAAATTGAGTTCAATCTTGTCAAGTGCAACCTCAAAAGTCTTAAAATATGAGCAGTAGTCTTAAGCTCAAAACTTAAGCTCGTGCTCTAATAAGTCTGATTCTTGAGCTTGTTAATAAGCTAGCTTGAGTTAACAATTCGAGTTGGCGCACGCACACTCTTATGTTGTGTTGAGAGTAGTGGCTTAGTTGATTTAATTGCGGGCTAAAGGTGCCGACATTATATTACCTTTGTTTTTTTTTAATCAAGTCTATTGGTGTCGTTGTAGTTGTAGTTTTAATAGGAGTGTTATGTAGTTAATGGTATTTGTCTCTGCGCCCTTGATCAAGCAAAAAGATTTAAATTAAAAGTATTAAATATATATATA